GCGCACGCCGGCGATTCCCTCTACCTCTGCCTGGATTGTGGTTTGGCGCTGGACACCGAGGCGGCGCTGCTGGCGCACCGCCGCGGGCACGGCGTGGCCGAGCCGCTGCACCGCTGCGCCTGCGGCAAGACCTTCGCCAGCATGACCAAGTTCCTGTACCACCGGCGCTCCCACGCCGCGCCGGGCGCCGCAATCCCCGCGCCAGAGCCGATTCTGGAGCAGCCAGAATCGAGCTTGGCGTGCGGCGCGTGCCAGAAGGCGTTCCCCAGCGCGGCGGCGCTGGCGCGGCACCAGCGCTTCGTGCACCGGCTGGAGCGGCGCCACCGCTGCGGGACGTGCGGGAAAATGTTCAAAAAGTCGTCGCACCTGCGGAACCACGCGCGCACGCACACGGGCGAGCGGCCCTTCGCCTGCGGCGAGTGCGGCAAGCCCTTCAACTCGCACGCCAACCTGCTGCGGCACCGCCTGACGCACACCGGGGAGCGGCCCCACGAGTGCCCCGAGTGCCACAAGCGCTTCGCCCAGAGCTCCACGCTGCGGCAGCACCTGCAGGTGCACCTGCGGCGGCCGGCGCCGCACCGCTGCGGCGACTGCGGGCTGCGCTTCCCGCGGCCGCACCGGCTGCTGCTGCACCGCGCCCACCACGGCGGCGAGTACCCCTACAAGTGCGCGCAGTGCGGCCGCGGCTTCCTGCTGCGGCGGCTGCTGGACGTCCACGCGCTCGGCCACGCCGGGAAGGAACCCCTCAGGTGTGAAGGATGTGGTGCCGCGTTTGCCGGCGCGGCGGCGCTGCGGGAGCACCGCTGCGGCAACGCCGGGTGGAGGTTCGAGTGCGGGATATGCGGTAAAAAATGCGGCACGGCCGCGCGGCTGCGGGCGCACGAGCGGACGCATGGTGGTCAAGCGGCCAGCGAGGCGACAGCAGAGTGTAAAACCACCCCGCCGCCCACGCCGCGCCGCGCCGGCGCCAAAAATTTAGAATGCGGCGAGTGCAAAAAGCTTTTCAGCACGGAGACGTCGCTGCAGGTGCACCGGCGCATCCACACCGGCGAGCGGCCCTACCCCTGCCCCGAGTGCGGCAAGGCCTTCCGGCAGTCCACGCACCTCAAGGACCACCGGCGGCTGCACAGCGGCGAGCGGCCCTTCCGCTGCGCCGAGTGCGGCAAGGGCTTCGCCGTGGCCGTGCGCCTGGCCGAGCACCGGCGCATCCACAGCGGCGAGCGGCCCTACCGCTGCGGCGACTGCGGCAAGAGCTACCGCTCCTTCTCCAACCTCTGGAAGCACAGGAAGGTGCACAAGGCGGCGGCGGGGGGCGGGGGGGACCCTCGTGGTGGGTCTGGGGGCTTCAGGGGGTGGGGAGAGCGTGGTTCAGGTTCCAGAGACCCCCAAAGAGACCTTGGTTGTGGGGTCGGGGTCTTCCAGTGAGGTGCTGGTGGTGGGTCTGGGGTCTTCAGTCCACGGGGAGAGCCTGGTGGGGGTCCCAGAGCCCCCAAAAGAAACCTTGGTTGTGGGTCTGGGGGCTTCAGGGTGTGGGGAGAGCCTGGTGGGGGTCCCGGAGCCCCCCAAGGACCCCTTGGTTGTGGGTCTGGGGTCTCCGGCCCACGTTGAGACCCCCGGGGTGGGTCTGGGGGCTTCGGGGAGCCCCCGCTGGAGACCCCAGAGAGCCCCAAGGACCCCTCGGTGGTGGGTCTGGGGTCTCCGCCCCACCCCGAGACCCCCGCCCGGATTTCGGCCCCCCAGACCCCCGGGGGGGGTCCGGAGACCCCCGGGGACCCCCCAGAGTGACCCCAAATTGGGGGGAGGGGAGGGGCGGCTGCGGAGTTTATTAAAATTTATTAAAATTTATTAAAATTTATTAAAATCGAGAGAAACGAACCCAAAGAGGCCCTGGTTGTGGGTCTGGGGGCTTCGGGGTGTGGGGAGAGCGTGGTTCAGGTCCCAGAGCCCCCCAGAGAGGCCCTGGTGGTGGGTCTGGGGGCTTCGGGATGTGGGGAGAGCGTGGTTGGGGTCCCACAGGTCACTAAAGAGGCCCTGGTTGTGGGTCTGGGGGCTTCAGGGTGTGGGGAGACCCTGGTGGGGGTCCCGGAGACCCCCAAGGAGGCCCTGGTGGTGGGTCTGGGGGCTTCAGGGTGTGGGGAGAGCGTGGTTGGGGTCCCAGAGGTGTCCAAGGATGTTGTGATGGTAGAAATGGGGTCCTCAGGATGTGGGGAGAGCATGGTTGGGGTGGGTCTGGGGTCTTCAGGGTGTGGGGAGACCCTGGTGGGGGTCCCACAGGTCTCCAAGGAGACCCTCGTGGTGGGTCTGGGGGCTTCAGGGGGTGGGGAGAGCGTGGTTCAGGTTCCAGAGCCCCCCAGAGAGACCCTGGTTGTGGGTCTGGGGTCCTCAGTCCACGGGGAGAGCGTGGTTGGGGTCCCACAGGTCACTAAAGAGGCCCTGGTGGTGGGTCTGGGGTCTTCGGGATGTGGGGAGAGCGTGGTGGGGGTCCCAGAGACCCCCAAAGAGACCTTGGTTGTGGGGTCGGGGTCTTCCAGTGAGGTCCTGGTTGTGGGTCTGGGGTCCTCAGTCCACGGGGAGAGCCTGGCGGGGGTCCCGCAGGTCACTAAAGAGGCCCTGGTGGTGGGTCTGGGGGCTTCAGGGTGTGGGGAGAGCGTGGCGGGGGTCCCGGAGACCCCCAGAGAGGGCACGGTGGTGGGGCTGGGGGCTTCGGTCCATGGGGAGAATGTGGTTGGGGTGGGGGCTTCAGGGTGTGGGGAGAACCTGGGTGGGGTCCCAGAGCCCCCCAGGGAGACCCTGATGGTGGGTCTGGGGGCTTCGGGATGTGGGGAGAGCGTGGTTGAGATCCCACAGCCCCCAAAAGAGGCTCTGGTTGTGGGTCTGGGGTCTTCAGACCACGGCGAGAGCGTGGTTGGGGTGGGGGTGGGGGCTTCAGGGGGTGGTGAGACCCTGGTGGGGGTCTCACAGATTTCCAAGGAGACCCTGGTGGTGGGTCTGGGGGCTTCAGGGTGTGGGGAGAGCGTGGTTGGGGTCCCAGAGGTGTCCAAGGATGTTGTGATGGTAGAAATGGGGTCCTCAGGATGTGGGGAGAGCATGGTTGGGGTGGGTCTGGGGTCTTCAGGGTGTGGGGAGACCCTGGTGGGGGTCCCACAGGTCTCCAAGGAGACCCTCGTGGTGGGTCTGGGGGCTTCAGGGGGTGGGGAGAGCGTGGTTCAGGTTCCAGAGACCCCCAAAGAGACCTTGGTTGTGGGGTCGGGGTCTTCCAGTGAGGTGCTGGTGGTGGGTCTGGGGTCTTCAGTCCACGGGGAGAGCCTGGTGGGGGTCCCAGAGCCCCCAAAAGAAACCTTGGTTGTGGGTCTGGGGGCTTCAGGGTGTGGGGAGAGCCTGGTGGGGGTCCCGGAGCCCCCCAAGGACCCCTTGGTTGTGGGTCTGGGGTCTCCGGCCCACGTTGAGACCCCCGGGGTGGGTCTGGGGGCTTCGGGCCACGGCGAGACCCCGCTGGAGACCCCAGAGACCCCCAAGGACCCCTCGGTGGTGGGTCTGGGGTCTCCAGCCCACGTTGAGACCCCCGGGGTGGGTCTGGGGGCTTCGGGCCACGGCGAGACCCCGCTGGAGACCCCAGAGACCCCCAAGGACCCCTCGGTGGTGGGTCTGGGGTCTCCGCCCCACCCCGAGACCCCCGCCCGGATTTCGGACCCCCAGACCCCCGGGGGGGGCCCGGAGACCCCCGGGGACCCCCCAGAGTGACCCCAAATTGGGGGGAGGGGAGGGGCGGCTGCGGAGTTTATTAAAATTTATTAAAATTTATTAAAATTTATTAAAATCGAGAGAAACGAACCCAAAACTGTGTCGAGAGAGGGGGGAGGGGTCGGGGTAACCACGCCCCCGGCTGTCAATCAGCGCCGTGGCCACGCCCACAGCTGTCAATCGGAGCCTTGGCCACGCCCACAGTTGATATTCAATGCGGTTTGGCCACGCCCACAGCTGTCAATCAAAGTTTTTAGCCTCACCTGCCAATCACCGTGGCTCAGCCACGCCCACAAACGTTATTCGCTGCGGTTTGGCCACGCCCACAGCTGTCAATCACCGCGGTTTAACCACGGCCACGGCAGCCAATCAGAGCTCGCTTTAGCCACGCCCACAGCCTTTAATCACCGGGCTTTGGCCACGCCCACCGCAGCCAATCAGAGCTCCTTAGCCACGCCCACAACGAATAATCACCGCGCTTTAGCCACGCCCACAATCAGCCCTCATTAGCCACGCCCCCAGCAGCCCATCGCCTCTCTTTAGCCACGCCCACAGCCGTTAATTACCGCGGTTTAGCCACGCCCCCACAGCTGTCAATCACCGCAGTTTAACCACGCCCACAGCCGTTAATTACCGCGGTTTGGCCACGCCCCCAGCAGCCCATCGGAGCTCTTTAGCCACGCCCCCCCAGCTGTCAATCACCGCCCTTCGTGAGGTGCTGGTGGTGGGTCTGGGGTCTTCAATCCACGGGGAGAGCCTGGTGGGGGTCCCGGAGCCCCCCAAGGACCCCTTGGTTGTGGGTCTGGGGTCTCCGGCCCACGTTGAGACCCCCGGGGTGGGTCTGGGGGCTTCGGGCCACGGCGAGACCCCGCTGGAGACCCCAGAGACCCCCAAGGACCCCTCGGTGGTGGGTCTGGGGTCTCCGCCCCACCCCGAGACCCCCGCCCGGATTTCGGACCCCCAGACCCCCGGGGGGGGCCCGGAGACCCCCGGGGACCCCCCAGAGTGACCCCAAATTGGGGGGGGGAGGGGAGGGGCGGCTGCGGAGTTCATTAAAATTTATTAAAATTTATTAAAATTTATTAAAATTTATTAAAATCGAGAGAAACGAACCCAAAACTGTGTCGAGAGAGGGGGGAGGGGTCGGGGTAACCACGCCCCCGGCTGTCAATCAGCGCCGTGGCCACGCCCACAGCTGTCAATCGGAGCCTTGGCCACGCCCACAGTTGATATTCAATGCGGTTTGGCCACGCCCACAGCTGTCAATCAAAGTTTTTAGCCTCACCTGCCAATCACCGCGGCTCAGCCACGCCCACAAACGTTATTCGCTGCGGTTTGGCCACGCCCACAGCTGTCAATCACTGCGGTTTAACCACGCCCACAACCGTTAATTACCGCGGTTTAGCCACGCCCCCAGCAGCCAATCAGAGCTCTCTTTAGCCACGCCCACAGCCGTTAATTACCGCGGTTTAGCCACGCCCCCAGCAGCCCATCAGAGCTCTTTAGCCACGCCCCCCAGCTGTCAATCACCGCGGTTTAACCACGGCCACGGCAGCCAATCAGAGCTCGCTTTAGCCACGCCCACAGCCTTTAATCACCGGGCTTTGGCCACGCCCACCGCAGCCAATCAGAGCTCCTTAGCCACGCCCACAACGAATAATCACCGCGCTTTAGCCACGCCCACAATCAGCCCTCATTAGCCACGCCCCCAGCAGCCCATCGCCTCTCTTTAGCCACGCCCACAGCCGTTAATTACCGCGGTTTAGCCACGCCCCCACAGCTGTCAATCACCGCAGTTTAACCACGCCCACAGCCGTTAATTACCGCGGTTTGGCCACGCCCCCAGCAGCCCATCGGAGCTCTTTAGCCACGCCCCCCCAGCTGTCAATCACCGCCCTTCCTCCAGGCCCCTCCCCGCCAATCGCGGCGCTCCGTTTCCCCCCAGCCCCGCCCCTCTCCCCATTCCCGGTCCCGATCCCGGTTCCGGTTCCAAATCCAAATCCCGGTTCCGGTTTCATTCCCGGATCCATTCCTGATCCCGGTCCCATTCCGGTCCCAGTCCCGGTTCCGGTCCCGGTCCAATCCCGGTCCCGGTTTCATTCCCGGTCCCGATCCCGGTTCCGGTTCCAAATCCCGGTTCCGGTTCCGGTCCCGGTTCTATTCCCGGTACCGGACCCAGTTCCGGTCCAATCCCGCTTCCGGTCCCGGTTCCGGTTCCGGTTCCCCCCGCGGGGGGCTCAGTGGGGGAGGGGCGCCCCCCGAAATGACCCCAAAATAACCCCGGGACCCCTCCCCAAAATAACCCAAAATGACCCCAAAAATTACCCTGGGACCCCCCCTCAAAATGACCCCGAGACCCCCGAAATGACCCCAAAATTACCCTGGGACCCCTCCCCAAAATAACCCAAAATGACCCCAAAAATTACCCTGGGACCCCTCCCCAAAAATAATTCCAGGACCCCCCAAAATGACCCCAAATGACCCCAAATGACTCCGGGACCCCTCCCCAAATTCCCGTTCCCCCCCCCACGGAGCAGGGCCCGTTCGGGGGTCCCGGGGGGATTTGGGGAGGGGTCCCGGGGTCATTTTGGGGTCGTTTCAGGTCATTTTGGGTCATTTTTGGGTTATTTTTGGGTCATTTTTGGGTCATTTTTGGGTTATTTTTGGGGAGGGGTCGCGGGGTTATTTTTTGGGGGGGGTCTCGGGTAATTTTGGGGTCATTTCGGGTCATTTTTGGTCAATTTTGGGATTATTTGGGTTTTTAGTGGGGGGTCCCGGTGTTAATTTTGGGTTATTTTGGGTCATTTTTGGGTTATTTTGGGATGTTTTGGGTTATTTTAGGTTATTTTTGGTTATTTTTGTTTATTTTGGGATATTTCTGGTTATTTTGAGTCCTTTTGGGTTTATTTTGGGGTTATTTCAGGTTATTTTAGGATATTTTGGGTTATTTTGGGATATTTTGGTTTATTTTGGGTTATTTTGGGTTATTTTAGGGATATTTTTGGTTATTTTGGGATATTTTGGGATATTTTTGGTTATTTTGGGATATTTTGGGTTATTTTTGTTTATTTTTGGATATTTTGGGATATTTTGGGATAATTTTGGTTATTTTGAGTTATTTTAGGATATTTTGGGGTTATTTCAGGTTATTTTAGGACATTTTGGGTTATTTTGGGATATTTTGGTTTATTTGGGGTTATTTTGGGTTATTTTAGGAATATTTTTGGTTATTTTGGGTTATTTTGGGATATTTTTGGTTATTTTTGGATATTTTGGGATATTTTGGGATAATTTTGGTTATTTTGAGTTGTTTTAGGATTTTTTGGGGTTATTTCAGGTTATTTTAGGACATTTTGGGTTATTTTGGGATATTTTGGTTTATTTGGGGTTATTTCAGGAATATTTCTGGTTATTTTGGGATATTTTCTGTAATTTTGGTTTATTTTGGAGTTATTCCAGGTTATTTTAGGATATTTTGGGTTATTTTGGGTTATTTTTGGATTATTTTGGGTTACTTTTTGTCATTTTGGGTTATTTTGGGTATTTTTGGTTATTTTTGGTTATTTTGGGGTATTTTGGGTTTATTTTTTGTTATTTTGGGGTTTTTTTAGGATATTTTGGGTTATTTTGGGTTATTTTTGGATTATTTTGGGGTACTTTTTGTCATTTTGGGTTATTTTGGGATATTTTGGGTTATTTGGTGGGGAATTTGGGTTATTTTGGGTTATTTTTGGATTATTTTGGGTTACTTTTTGTCATTTTGGGTTATTTTGGGTATTTTTGGTTATTTTTGGTTATTTTGGGGTATTTTGGGTTTATTTTTTGTTATTTTGGGGTTTTTTTAGGATATTTTGGGTTATTTTGGGTTATTTTTGGATTATTTTGGAATATTTTTGGTTATTCTTGGTTATTTTGGGATTATTTTGGGGGTTTTTTTGTTATTTTGGGTTATTTTGGGATTATTTTGGAATATTTTTGGTTATTCTTGGTTATTTTGGGATTATTTTGGGGGTTTTTTTGTTATTTTGGGTTATTTTGGATTATTTTTTGTTATTTTGGGTTATTTGGGGTTATTTGGGGTTATTTGAGGTTATTCGGGTAATTTTGGTTAATTTCGGGTTATTTTGGGGTTATTTCAGGTTATTTTAGGATATTTTGGGATATTTTGGATTAGTTTTTGTTATTTTGGGTTATTTGGGGTTATTTGAGGTTATTCGGGTTATTTTGTGTAATTTCGGGTTGTTTGGGGTTTATTTTGGGGCAATTTTGGTTAATTTCGGGTTATTTTGGGGTAATTTCAGGTAATTTCGGGTTTATTTCAGGTTATTTTGGGTAATTTTGGGTAATTTCTGGTTTATTTCAAGTTTATTTTGGGTTTATTTTGGGGCAATTTCAGTTAATTTCGGGTTTATTTTGGGGTAATTTGGGTTAATTTCAGGTCATTTCGGGTAATTTTGAGTTTATTTTGGGGTAGTTTTGTGTAATTTCGGGTTAGTTTGGGGTAATTTCAGTTAATTTCAGGTCATTTTGGGGTCATTTCGGGTAATTTCAGGTAATTTTGGGTAATTTTGGGTTAATTTGGAGTAGTTTCGGATTATTTTGGGGTAATTTCGGGTTATTTTGGGGTCACTTGGGGGAATTTGGGTTAATTTCAGGTAATTTCGGGTCATTTGGGGGTCATTTGTGGTAATTTCAGTTTATTTCGGATTTTTTTGGGTTAATTTGAGGTAATTTCGGGCTATTTTGGGGTAATTCGGGTTAATTTCAGGTCATTTTGGGGTCATTTCGGGTAATTTCGGGTAATTTTGGGGTAATTTGGGTTAATTTCAGGTAATTTCGGGTCATTTGGGGGTCATTTGTGGTAATTTCAGTTTATTTCGGATTTTTTTGGGTTAATTTGAGGTAATTTCGGGCTATTTTGGGGTAATTCGGGTTAATTTCAGGTCATTTTGGGGTCATTTCGGGTAATTTCGGGTAATTTTGGGGTAATTTGGGTTAATTTCAGGTAATTTCAGGTAATTTCGGGTAATTTCAGGTAATTTTGGGTAATTCCAGGTAATTTCGGGTTATTTTGGGTTAATTTCAGGTAATTTCAGGTAATTTCGGGTTATTTTGGGTTAATTTCAGGTAATTTGGGTTAATTTCAGGTAATTTTAGGTTAATTTCAGGTAATTTGGGTTAATTTCAGGTAATTTCAGGTAATTTCGGGTAATTTCAGGTAATTTTGGGTAATTCCAGGTAATTTCGGGTTATTTTGGGTTAATTTTGGGTAATTCCAGGTAATTTCGGGTTATTTTGGGTTAATTTCAGGTAATTTCAGGTAATTTCGGGTTATTTTGGGTTAATTTCAGGTAATTTGGGTTAATTTCAGGTAATTTTAGGTTAATTTCAGGTAATTTGGGTTAATTTCAGGTAATTTCGGGTAATTTGAGGTAATTTCGGGTCATTTTGGGGTAATTCGGGGTAATTTCAGGTAATTTGGGTTAATTTCAGGTAATTTTGGGGTAATTTCGGGTAATTTGGGTTAATTTCAGGTAATTTAGGTTAATTTCAGGTAATTTGGGTTA